CACGCGAAATCACGCGTGCCTGTGTGCTTTTTGACTTAAACCCATGGTCATCATTTGCTATCGGGTTCTCTCTAGACTCTTGTTTGAATCCTATTGCGCTAACGTTGGTTGCACCGGGTTCTTCTTTTTGGTTCTTATTTAGTACATTTTTCTTTCTTTTGTTTTTTCGTGATTTTTCTTGGTGTTTATTCCTGTTTTCTGCGCTTCTCGTTTTTCTTGGATGTTTCCAACTTTTTTATCCCTTATATCGTGCTTTCTTAACTTTGCTTTTGGTTATTTTTTATTTTCTTGCTTTTCGTGATAATTTGGAATGATGTTTTCCGATGTTTTTTGATCAAGTCTTCATCATCTTTTATCTCGGCTTTTTTCGCCTGCACTCATATGCTGTGTGTAATTGTGTGGTTTTGATATCCATGCCCCACACACAAGTATTGCACAATGTTTCTGAAAGGTGAATGTTTCAACCACTTTCATCAATCGCTGACATTGGCTTCTACATTTGTTGTGTTCGTCTTTTAACACGACGCATACGGAGGCAAGCAATAACATTCACTTGAAGTTTATCAAATTAGCGATATCTGTCACATGTACATTGCCCACTGAGTCCTGGGAATCTATTCAAATCTGCAGTTCATTTGGGATCTACAAACAAGAACGTGTTTCATTCGCGCTGTGAACTCTTATGTTACTTGATTATAAAACTAACCGATACAAATTTTCATTTTGTCTTCATACAGAATGTGCAGCATTACTCAAATATTCAAAAGAAAGAATAAAAGGTTGGTTTTTCCGCATCATACTTGCGAATATATCCTCAATGTCATTAATTTATGAAAAGCTCAGAAGACGTAAAGTAGTGTGAACAAAGGCCCCCTGTCACTGACTACGTGAAAACACCTGATACGCATCCGATTATTGGGGGCCAAATTAGAATTTTCTTAATTGGCACTAATCGAGGGTACGTCCATGTCGAACGATATGTGAAAAATCGTTCAACATGAATGCTAAAATTTTTTGAAAACGCATATCATAGAGGTCGGAACCATCATCAGTGAAACGCACTTTTGGACACGCAAAACCGCCCGTGACACCGACGCGAATGACCTGAGCGATCCATCACCAATGGACAGGTCTCAGATGTTCAATTCTTTCGTAGAATTCTCATTTAAAAAAGATAGTTCAACTAAAGGGATCGGATTTTAACCATGTTGCCGATGAATTGATTGTCAATCCTCACTGTCAAGCATGCTAAAATTCAAATCCAAAAAGCGCAATCAAAAATACATGTGCGACGGCTTTCAAGAGTGTTCTTCTTTCCATCCAGTCAAACCATTCCCGTCATTCAACCCACTGTTTTCCGCGCCTACCCCATGTATTCAATATTCATCCACAACTCCTCATGAACTTTTAACCCCTAACATGTCGAATTGATGCTGATGAACTTTCACGCGGGCTTTTTGGCCTATCGCGTTACCACGTGCCGTGGGTGCACGTTTTTCGGTAATTCACATTGATTTGCCGTTCTTGTCGGGCTTTCTTTGAACTTGCACCGATTTGTGCAACAATTGGACGAAAATTCTCATAAGATGAGCATCACTTTACGTTGATAAAGCTCAAGGCTTGGTAATTCTTGGCTTGTGATTTCGCACGTCACCCAAGTAGGCTTCCCGGAGTGCGTCATGTATTCCACAAACAGACTGCTCACAAATTTCACAGCAGAAATGTGCGAGTACCCAGAGGAATTGGCACAAGTTGCGGGCAGATACAAAAGCTTCTAGACAGTTTTGACAAACCTGAAAAGAGCGTTACTCAGGATGATAAAGTGCCTCCAAAACTGTAGGAACAAAACCTCCCATCAAAAATGCACTGTAATAGGATACTAATTCAGTTCTGGAACACGTTTCGCAAATCCAGCGTTCGCATGTCCCGTGGAAGATTCGGGAAACTTTCAACAACTGGTATCTATCAGATACATAGTTTACGATAAGTCCCTTCCGGTATGTGTGCGGGCTCCTTATTCACTTCTGTTAGGATGTCAACATTGATGGATCAAATCTGAAGGGTCCGCTTCTTGGCATTAGCAGGTCCATTCATTCAACAGGTCATTTTTGGCAAAAAAAGCTTGAGCAGTTCCACAAATCGGTCAACCTGGTCATATCGTTGATAAGTAACACTTATTTACGATTGAATCCCTTGTAAGGCGTAAACATTTTACGATTTCTCTACTGCAGGAATTTTAGAAGACTTCGTAGCACAAACCTGAGTTGACCTACCTCCCTAGAATTACATCATCAAACTGTCAATATCCTAAGAAAAATACCGCGTTTTCATGAACATGTGCAAGTATTCTCTCTCAGTTGGACCCGTAATTACTTCCTACTAGTCATGTTTGTTTCTCTCACTCTCCCACCCCCGCCCAAACAAGAAGACTTGCCTTCACCAGCGGAAAAACAAGACCGTGACAGGATTCTCATTGAAGGTAATATGCCTACTTTCATGAAATCTGTATCACAATATTCACATTTCAGGAAACTTGTGTCTAGGCGATGAAATCCGAACAATTCATCTTAACCACAGTGGATGCTTGCATTGTCTTTAACTCAGCTATAAAAATAATCAAGTATTTTGGTAAAACGGCGAATGGATTGATGACCTGCTTCTCAGTTGCTCCGTTTTGTAGCGTCCTATGACGTCGGGCCTTCATAATCTGTCACCACTCACCATAGCTTCCTGCTGATTTACACCCGCACCATTGTCTTCTTCATTTCAGGGTTAATCAACCCTCCGAATGTGGATAAACCAGCCAAGGAAACTGTTCAAAATAGTAAGCTACAAGCATACATTTATCTACGCGTAACCGAAAGGCGATCATTGAGTTTTAACCTCCACCAGTTACTCGGCTAATCTCATACTAACTAACGAACTCAGGTCCCACCAGTTCCGTCACTTGGTCGGGCAACTCGACTGAAGTTCCTTTTAGCCTGATCATACACAACCATGCAGCCTAACTACATATTGTCAAAGATGTGCTCCACAATAGCTTAAATCGTTTTCTTTCGGCGAGGGAGCGGAAATTGGAATGTAAAAAAAGCAAACGACTTTGCGCTGCATTCCACATTCTTATTGGCACAACTCTGTCATGGTCTGTTTCTCTCACGTTAACTCCATGAAGTTGAAACAGGAGCACCAGGCCCCTATAACCGACGCATACTAAAGCAGCAGATTGTAATACTTTCATTTTCGGACGACTAGTTTGGTGTATGTAGTCGGTGTGGAAGTGGAGAACGTGACCGTGTTGTTAGTTGGAATGAGTTCTCAATTGCAGACCAGTTTGTTTCATCACACTACTATTGAATTGTTGTATGTCGGTCGGGAAAACGACGCATTAGATTAATAAGACTCCTCCCTCAAACTTGAGAACCCGTTTAAACCTGAACAACCAGTTGTGGATTCCAAGATTCAGCGATGAATGCCGCCATATGCTCTCGGAGTTGTAGTCACATCACTGATTAGCCACCCGTAATGGAAGGGTTGAAGGTTGAAATTACTAACCCGGAAATCGCTGCTTCACATTACTCAGGTTCTTTTGAGCTTGCTTTACTGATACGTATCATTAAAAACACAAATACTATAGACTGCTTCAGCACAAATTTGCTTGCAGGATGAAATCCCAATGATTGATTTCTTAATCTCTCAATTTACAGTCAGACTGAGCTTTATATTTCCGAATCAGAGGTGTTCAAATGATACCTCGGATGTTAACTGTTTGACATGCAGGCGTAAAATGATGTTCAACACTCTCCCTCTTCGCATCAAAGCAGCAGGTTTATTCAGTGAACTTTCTATCCCAAACGAAATTGTGTCAGTTGCGAATTTCCTATGGAATCTTCGAAACATTTATCGCGTCAATTGTGCAGGTTTTTGTGTCTGCTGACGTCTATTTGTTCTCACGTGCATAAATCTTCCATGAGAACTGTTCTCTGTATGTGCGAAGTATGCTTTCTGTCGAGCGTTATTTCTACCCAGTCTCTTGTAAAACTCGTCTATTTTGTCGAATAACTCTGGCCGATAACATCATATGACTGGCCACGACAATGGTACATAAAGAGCGCAACATCCCTCGTCGAAGATAGACGTTCTTATGGAAGAGGCTGGCTGTAAGTTACATTCAGGGATTGTACCACCGCTGTGACTGTATTTCCCAACAAGAACCATTGTCAAACTCAAGTCAGGACTTGAACACACTGAGCAAAGTACAAACAACAATGCAGTCATAAGCCGTGATTATCGTCGCGCTGAAGAAAATATGATAAATTTTTGTGGAGAGTTCGCCCGGACTGGATACACATCGGTGATTAAAACTTGATCAGAAATTTATCGGAAACATCTGCAGACTTGTAGGTCACAGATCTCTTTGAGGACGATCGAATAACAATCATCAGGCATCCGATACCACCAAGTCAATATAAAACAAACTGGTGGATGAGGAGACCGGCCAGAATGTGCAGAGGCGAGGAGTTTCTTGATGTGCTGTGGCTTTTTCAAAACGTTACCCAGACAATATTATCAAGAAAAACGCAGGTTTTGATAGTAAATGGGACTCCTGAAATGCCAAATCCTGCACTGTGCGAAGGCTCGCTCAGTACTGACTTTCAAAATCAGCAGTTTTAACTTGCGTCATGGTGACCAAAACGCGTATTAGACATACTGGGTGAGTGTTCATGGCAAAGCGCAGCAGCCTAAGCTACTGCGCTCCTCTTATTTGCACTGCGAGGCCGGTCCATTGATTGTGATCTCAAAAACTCATAGTATTAACTAACACATTTCACACGAGCATTTGGAGTATCAACAGGAACAATCGTAAACCGACAAGCAGGGAGTCCTCTTCCGCCAAATCATAGGCTGCCTTCATTGATGATAACATGAGAATGGGGATGCCGTAAATGCATGTGGGTAATTTCGGTATTTTCCGAGACTTCAAGTGGATCGTCTAGAGCTCCGATTTTGGTTTGGAAACTCAAGTGCAGTTGTTTTTAAAGGGTCCAGTCGGAGAATTAGAGCCTGTTTAGTGTCTGAAGTTGAGCGAGTCACCTTTGCCATTGGTTGCCTTCCCCATCACGACCTTTTAGAGCCCGAAGAACATGTCGATGGGAGCAGTTCCCACACAATTCCTGAGTTTTGCGCTACGACCACCATTTCGACATTTTAGACTCACCCGATTTCTCGTTCTTCCAGGCGCTCTGATACTCTGGACTTCGACAGTTTTGTTATAATGAATGTATTATTGGAAATCAAATACATGTCTCAGCCTCCTAATTCAGCTCGTTCAGTTGGGTGTGTCCCACCACAAGCACAGTTAGGGGCGTCTTTAGTGTTTGCTAAAGGTGATTTCCAGTAAGTGCCGATATCAGAAAATGCATTGGACCAAATAGACCCCAGTAGGTCTGCAAAATAGTTTTACTTTACATTCGGTCAGAGAGTTTGTCAAAGCCGGCCGAGGGGCACGCACCGTACATTTTTCCGCAGAGCGCGAAACAACTCACACCAGATAAGCGCGAAATCAACAGAAGTGTACCGGAGCGAGTGACAATCAACAGCTGATCCACCTCACCGATCAGTATGAGGATAAGGATAGTTTCCTGTGAGGTTTCAGGAGTATGGGAAAACCTGTGGTTGCTTTGCAAGTAAATGCCACGCACAGCCCGTGAAGCACTGACTGTTTTAGGCGCTGTCGTTTGGTCTTGTTTTTGTTCCAATTCGTCCATCTCATTTGGCCTAGGCACCGCTAATTCTCTCTAGTTATGTGTTCATATTTCCGGGAACCATAGCACGGCTGACAACTTGACACGGTTTATTATGGTGTCAAAAGCTGTGTACAAACTATATAATAATAGATCAGAGCTGTCCTGTGCTTGAATATTAGCGGATATAGTGGATAGGTAGAGATTATCGGTATATCCACGGTATAGTTTCACGGATGAACTGTGCATATGTGAAAGTCATCCACCTCAAAACGGTATCAGCCTGAGATCGTTCCGCTCTATGATCCTCGACAGGACCATCCACTATGGCTTCCGGATTCCCAGAGGTGTTCAATTGCTAGCGCAAGGAAACTCTTCGATTCAACAACCGCATTTGAACGCTGGAACGTGCCACTGAGAGAGCATATATCAACTGGAGGCGGGTGTGACAAACAATGAAGAGCAGACCTGCTGTCCGGCTCGATTCAGTGAGAGGGCTGGATAGCGAATAAACTTGTTAAACCTACGGAGAAGTTTCTAGCAACTATATGGATAAAACGGAGACGAAACAAACAGAACAAAGGGAGGCGTCAACTGTAGCCTGTCTTTACTTGTCTGACCCGTTCTATGCAGCAAGGGGACTAAGGTGATGGCACCACACCACGGCCGACATGTCATCCGGTTATTTGTGGTTATCGATTTCCATCTTAACGTCTGATAGTGCCAGTATGTCGTCCAGGTAAGGAGTACATAGAAGAACTTGACCCATAAATGTGTTCAGCTGATGAGTTTCCAGTTCACTCCACCACAGATCTCAAATTAAGGAGATATGGTGATACACTGCACTCTGCCGACAAGTGTACTTGTCGCAAACAAATTGCAGACACAAAGCCTAGTAAGAGGTAGCATTCCTGATATTTCCTACCACAGAATTATGTGCTGTCACAAATATAGCCTACCGTCGCGACAAGTGGTACTTTGGTTGGAGGCTTGATCGACCGGAAGGGCACCTACTCGTGTGCAATTCGTCATATTTGGCCTCATCCGCGCACATCCCATACTATGAAGACGCCTTCTAAGTCAAACACTGGATACCCCTATACCAAACAATAACAGTACGGTTTCGACTGAACTCGACGGCAAAGTCGGCTGCAATCCCACCATGTAGCCAGATTTCTGTGTTTAGAAAGAACACGTACGCCTGATAAAACTCGTGTGAGCCCACGAACTACCTTGTTTTCACGACTGTAATGCAACCCATATAACTCGGTGATTCAGCAACCATGCAAACCTCCCTTGTTGCATTTCTATCACCACCATCATCACGGTTTGTCCCCAGTCATGAGATAAACATAAGACACATTACACTATTTCACAGGATCTCATACTCTCCACATGTTCGACACGTAAATCTGCTTGAAAGTAGTGCTTTGTTGCTCCACCATGTAAATCAAGACCCTGGCAATCGAGGCGACGATAATCTTAACGATGGTCAAAGTGATGCAAACGGCGGTCATAACAAAACAAGCAAGATTGCGGAAGCCGCGCGAGCTGATGCTAATGCAGATGAATACGAGGAATACTATTCGTATGAAGACCATGTTAGAGCCAACCAGGAGAGATCAGGCAAGCTAAAAAAGCTGGACGTTTTAAATTCATCGTCCCTCAGCTCGTTTGATCACGACTTCTCAGATATGGTTATGAACAGCTATCTAGCTATGTCACATACTGAAATGAAACGTCGTCGAGTCATTTATCACTTGCACCATGTTGATTTTCATTGTATCTGGCTGAAACACAAAGCTCGCTCTGTCTCACTAGGATTGTCAATCACTCTCAACGCCACTTCCTCGAGCCCACAAATCAGACACAATACACTGGACAATACTAGTGCTACTTTCGGCATTCCGGTGGCCATGAAAGCCAATATTGTAATCCTTAGTTAAAGAATCCGAATTTATTGCTGACTGTCAAGCACAGTACCATCACAAAACACGCCTGGTTAGAAACCTAACAAGATGAAATCAACGGGCTCGTCAGGTAGATCCATCCCACATCCATCCATCTCATCAAAGAACGGATTTGATCAGGTGCACAACTCACCGCCACTCAGATAAGATTTCGTTGATTTCAGTGGACTTGGTAACCGTTTGTGAAGGATGAGCACGATTTTGTATCTGAGACACGGGATCACAGGAGCTCCAAATTCTCACCTATTTCCCTTTGGAAATTTTTCCGTATGAAGATCGCACGCAGCCTACGTGGTTATTGTCCATATCTGCTGCCTTTCTCGCTCGCATCCCTTTTATTTACAATACTTTCACAACGCGAAATTTGGTACAGGTAACACGCTAAATGGATGTACACCACTGTTTTGCCCGAAATATCATAATTCCACCAAACACATGAACGTTACTGTCTGAATAACCGACATTTAGCTGAACTGATTGTCAAGGCGTACGTTTGCTGACATGGAGTCACATTCAAATTCATTTCAATATGACTGAAATTTCTCAGCGCTCACCTTGAGGGTGTCAGTCTCGAAAAACGTGAACGCCACATGTTGCATTTTGATGTGATTACTGGACGCAAACCACTGAAGTCGTTAGAACTACATCCCATGATCCAGCCTGTTCGAATTGTGTTTTCAGCAAATGAAACGGGGCGCCAGCGTTACTACTTACTAAAATTGCCTTAATTCACATGAAGTCTTTCATTTGCGGCGCCATTTCGGTTCCTGGGTACCATGCCACTCGAGGAAATCACGATGACTGGGTTACTTCCAGGTCCCCCAAGCCTAGGCAGGAGAAGTCGAGAGGCAGACCTCTGGCCAGTAAATTCACGCTGAGCCATCTCGAATCCAAAAATCGGTGAACTACAGTAGTGAACCACGGTAGTAAAAAACCGGCCTTGCGGAAACGAGGAAACTCTAAAGCAGCCTCCAATATGACAGCAGACAGGACCAAACTCACTGTATTCGTGAACACAGACGACTACAAGACAGTCTTGGGCGCCCAGCTTCTGAATCATTTGAGCAATTTCCCTCCCAATGCGTAGCGGGTTTAAAAAAAGTTGGAACCACACGTGGATGTGCTCCTTTGTGACCTGAATCCCATAATCGGACCATATTTCTGGTTCAGATTTGCCCCTAAATCATCCGTTTAAAGCCAATTCTACCGCCGTCCTAAAATCTGTAATTTAATGTTCCATCCGAACATACACGCAGAAAATAAACCTTCAAGGTGGCTCAGTTAAATGGTAAAATCCTTCCCACAATCAATTAGCGAGTAACTTTCATCTGAGATTATCGTTCGCACTTTGACAGACTATAATCGGTTGGGAAGATTTGACAAGAATTTGTGTGCCAGTACTGTGTTACATAAACATTTGGATAGGATTCGTTCGTCTGTTGACGCCACGAATGTCTCAATCCCTTTTCCGATCTCGATCATTGCTGTAGGTGGCTAAAATTCTCCCCTACTCATGTCAAACATGTTTTTCCAAACGTGCCGGTGGTTTACCGTCGGTTTCATTATAGATTTTTCCAATCCACTCGTTTCATGCTTCCGATAATTCACTGCTCACGCCATCGTTTGACTCCTGCGCCACATTGCGCGTTCACTACTATTTCTAAGCCGTTCTTATGACAAATTTCTCCGGATGAATATGTGAGATGTCGGATTGTAACAACAACCTTTTTCGTTGCATTATTACAACATTTTGGCAACAGGGTTCCATTGAAATCCAGCACATTCTGACCAACCATTGAACTCTGCTTCGGCATTTCCTGAATGAATCAGTCGCCACGTTTCAAGAAATTATCTGCGGTTCATTCCGCACATGTGCAATTAGATCCTATACACCCAACGCATTCTTTTTGACAAGGGCTCCCCCACCCAACTTGTCAAAACACAGTTGGACAGATTCAGCCCAATGATGAGCAGGAAAACAAACAATTAACTATGCATCAGAAGTCTTCGGAAAACGCTAACTTAAAGGGATTTGGAAGTGACATCCTCAGAGGAATAAAATTCACTTGTTGAGGATGAGCGGGCCGAGCGTGCACCGTTCAAACTCTGATGCCCTCTAAATTTCAACAACCTTGTGTTTGACTGTAAAAAAGGATCGATGTATATTAAACACAATCCTGTACTGTGCCGTTGCAAACAGCACACGCTTACCCAAGTTTTAACCATGGGTACGTATGCTCAGTGCGTCAACAGCACTTTCCGAATAAAGGTTGATAATTGTAGACCACCAATAGGATTGCTTCCAGTCTAATCTAATCCGACTGCATCAGTGACTCAGGTCACCGCTGGTGAGGTGGGTCCTGAAGCATTTTTTACGCATGAGGGCATTGTGGCATACTTTGCATTGTTTTAATTTCATTGTTTGGCCCACCTCTTAGATAAATGCCACTCTTGGTCGTCAAAATGTGATTTTAAAGATAAATCCATCTAACATCCTTACCCCGCTCAGTATTCGCACAATGGAATGGAATTTTCGAAGGCTATGACGTGTTACTGATGAACTAAAGTAATCGGGCAATTGAGTTGAGAGTACCACTCCAAACTTTTGAGCTCCGTTTAGGCATCCCGGGGTTTCGGCGACGCTGAGGAACTACTCTGAGAGACTTCCGCCAGGGGTATTGTTGCTCAAGGGGATAGTGAAATTTGGTGAGCAGAAAAATAGGAACTTAGATTGGAGCGGCTTTTGATCTGAGCTCATACGCAACGGAGCGCAACATTTTGGCGGAAAAATTTCACTCCACTCGTAAAGGTTTCTCAGCTAAGAGAATTGTGCGGCTAATAGTCTCCAACTACGGCTCTCGGACAACCGGGCGACCTAGTTTACTTCTGTCTGACCTTGATGGATCCAAAATTTCGTTGCTTTTAACAAATGTTTTTAGCACTCATGAAAAGGGCTACTATTGAGTAGCCTAACACATGGCTTCCAAATTCACATATATTTTCTTTCATATATATATAAAGATGGGGTGGCTCTTGCTACTCAACGCCGGTCAATAACGTATTAAAAGGACGGCAACTATTGCGATGTCACGAAACTCATCTATGGTTTGAATAAGATAACAAGACCCAAATACCACGCTTTTCCTTTTGATCACGGCGTGGAATTTTATAAGGGTGTCACTTTGTGGCGTTACAAAATCCGTCACGGTTGGCGTCAATGGCGGCGAAACAACCGTATAAGGTTGCGAAATCAATAGTCATATGGCCACGTGGCATCTGCGTGGTCATGTAGCGATCACAGAGCAAAAGCCTCAGAATAGGGCTTGAAAACTCACATAAGTGTACGAAGCGATACCTCTGAGTCCTGCAGCATAAGCGGATAATCGTCTTTGTTCTGTTCCCTTAGCCGGACAGTTTTGGTGCAAACGGTTTATCGTGCGTTGTAATCCGTCGATGCATAGGCTTTGACCATGCGCGCATACCTTCCATGTTATCGCGGTGTAGATAGTATCTGAATATGAGCGTTCCTCGGGATATTTGGCCTCGCTTGTTTAATGAATGGCTAATAACGATGATTATGATAACATTGTGTTGGTTGATTTTGACCCCCGAGACCTTCCGCCCCCAGTCGTTCTAATTCCCTTCAATACCATCAACAGTTTAGTATGTTCACAACGAAACCGTTAACACCATTGTGCATGCAGTTTTGCTTACGTTTCTTTTTATTGTACACAATTGTAGGTGGATCAGTTGTAGAAGACGATGCGGACAAAGAAGATGCAGAAGATTCAGAGGAAGACGACGAAGACGATGCAGTTGAGAAGGAACGTCCACAAGGCAGCGGCAAGCAAGGTGGTGACGTCAACATTGCAAAACACACACACGATAAGACCGATGAAATCGAATACGAGGAATATTATGTGTATGAAGACGAAAACAATTTGACGTGAGGAACTTTCAGAAGAAGACTAACATGGACGTGGCATGGTTTGGTTCTCAAACCAGCCTTTTTAATTCTCGCTCCCGAATAACGTGTGGAATAAAATCAGTCAACCCAAAAATTTTTATCACATGTTCAGTTTCATGTGCATGGTGGAATCTAGGTCCTAGTTAGACAACGATGTGCATATATGTCACTCAACATATCGGTTGCACCACTCCAAACTCCAGCTCAATCGGCCTGAAACAAAACCTGACGGTGTCCGTGTATTACCACTGCAAATAATCCAAACCAACGAACTTTCCGTGGGCCCCCAAACGGAGTAGAAAAATCAACTGACCAAATTCGATGATATATCAGTAGCATATTCTGATGGTGCAGTCGAGTGTCGAAGCATCCTAGCTGATGCATCAACAACGTCTCTTAGTTACACCACTCTCATAAACCATGCCAGGTTAAAGCCTAACCAAAATAAAATAAGTAGGCTTGGCCAGAGAAATAATCCCGCAATCATTCGAACACAATGATTTACAAAATGTATGAGTCTGTCTGCAGACCGTAATCGCGTTTGATACTATCGCACAAACAAAAGCTCAGTTGTTTAATCACATTTTTGTCACTGTCATTAGACTGTCATTGGGTACTCGAAAAGTGACATCACAAGACTTCTAAGTACACGCTGTCATATTTTGAAAAATTTTAACATGCGAAATGTGCCGCGAAACTCTGGTCTTTGAAACATTTTGTTATACTTATAATAATAATAATGTTGTGTGTGGTATACCGGTAATCATGAGCATAATGTTACGGTCGGAATAAAAGCATAATTGGCGGGAATTGCGTGTACAGGTGGGGTTCAGGAAAAGAGACAGCGTCATGGGCGGTGGGCATCATCAGACGCAGGCTTGGTCACCATTAAACCGACACGGGCCTGGATAATAATGTTTATTATCGACTTGTGGGTGGCTTACCGTTAGAATAAAACACGACTGGAAGTGTGCGGGTACTGGAGAGTGCGCGAAGATGAGGATAATTT